ACTGGTAGGATCCTAAATCAGCATCGCTGGTCACACCACAGGCAGGGACCAGGGAACTCAGCAGGTCCTCACACCTCTGTCTGCCAGAAGACACTGTTGCAGGCACTGCCAGCCTCCTGCACCACAACCTGCGGCCCTGCATCACCTCTGTCAGGGCTTCGGGCATGTGCAGGGAGTGAAATGTTTGACTCTCCCTGTTACCCCAAGAGATGAATCATTTTTTTTTTTCTTCTTTTAAATTAAAATCAACAAGAAATTCACATGCAACTTGCCTCAAAACTCCTCCCCTGTCTTTACTCACCTCATCCTCTCTTTTGTTTCAAACCTCAGTCACTTAGTCATGCCTAAAATTGCACTTTTGTTACCATGATGTAATAGGCCCACACGTCAGTACTAGAAAAATAACAGCAATATTTAAGTTTACCTCCCTTCCCCTTTTCTCCCCCCTCTAACCACTAGACAATGCTCCTTCCCAGCTTGGTAAAAATTTGGCAGAGTCTCTACAGCTCTGTGGGCTGGAAGAAGTAACCCCACAAGACATTGTAACAGAAACTTAGAAAGCCCAAAGCTGGCTTCAGGTAAATTAATAAGCAAAAAAACAAACAAAAAAAACCCCACCAAATTTCTACCCCCCAGAAAACAGCCAAAGCAACAATGAAACTTGTCAGATCAAATAGAATGCTCCTGTCTGAACTCACAGGATTTGAGTGGCTTCAGACATATCAGTTCTTCCGTTCTTACTCACGCACTCTCTCCACCCCGGGGGGGCTACAGAAACGGTCACAGATAACACATCTCCACAGTGACAGTTCCAGCCAACTACACCAGCTAAGCTGTGAGGTTTCTGAGACAAGATTTGCATCCGAGTGAGCCTGCCGAGAGCTACTCCGCATTGCAGCTCTGTTTCTTGTCTCTGACACTGCTGCCTCAGCAGATGCTGGGGATCAGCTGGAGATCAGCAGCTGCTTCTGCTTTTGAATTACAGGTGCCCATTGAGCCTTCACACTGCACCAGCCACCTTCCTGCCTGCCACGAGTGACCACGGGGTGGTAAAGAGTCAGGACACACGGATGCAATGTGCAGTATTGATATGAGGGCTGCTGGCCATAGCTCTTCAATGGATATTTCTCCCTCTCTGACCGGGGTTTCTCTGCTGGGGAAAGCGGAGCTGCAGCAGGCACTGGCAGGGCTGTTTGCAAGCGTACCACCTCCACAGATCTGTGAGAAACAGCACTCGCTGTGCAGCAGCAGCCATCGCACACCAGCCCTGCTCATTGCTCACCCTGCCTCACTATCTGCTTATCGTCTGTCCCTCAGAGCTCACTCCGCATCCCTTTGCTCGCGCTGTGCTTCTGCTGTAGAAAAAACAGTCACCTTATCCATACCATCCTTTCTATAATGCAGTGCTTTCTACCACCTTGGTTACTGTACATAGTGAGCCTACCCAAGGTTTTTAAGACAGTGGCATGCTGCCCTCCTCTTTCCTCCAAAGGGCTAGGTAAACAGCATGCAGCATCTGATACACATCAACCACAAAAGAGTCCGTATCTCTGTCAAACAGCTCCCTGTGCTCGGCCATGTAGCAGCAGAAACGCTTCTATGTCATGCAGAGCCCTGATATGGCCAGGTACACACCATGAACGCACAGGCATTGCCTGCAAAGCATCCAGCTGACCACGAGAGCTGTCTGTGTGCCTGCAACGTGCCCGCTGGCTCAGCACTCGCCAGGTCCATCAGGCTGAATCGTGTAGGACAGCACACCTGTGCCTAGCAAGAAACCATGTGAACTACAGAAGACCCCCAGGGTAATGGCAGCAGACCAGAAACCTCCTATCAGAAGATGATCTGGGCTTGTCGCTTCTTGTCAGCCACGTTCTCCTCAGAGGAGAATGTCTCCAGAGCCCCACTGAACAGTGCCCAAACCCTGGGGTGACTCCACACGTGGCCTGGGCTGCTGCATCAGGAGAGAGGAGCTCAGCTCTGACCACTGCAATCTAGAAACAGGAGCTGCAGGGAAGAGTCACTTATTTTCCTCACGAAAAAAATTTAATAAAGTCCCAATGGCCAGACCTGCTGATGGAGCTGGGATATGCCTTCTAGTGCAGATGCCCTTTCCTTGCTGGGAAGGGAACAAAACTCTTGATAACTTCAAAATAAATGTCAATAATTTGAATACTTATTAAATAACTTTAATTATAGCCCCAGAGCTATTAATAATGTCAGCATTAAATATTCATTAAGTATTTAATGCTAACAGTAAGCAAGTATTTCACCAGCTGAACAGCTCATGAGCTGGATAAACAGATGACTTTAATAAAGCCTTTGCGGCGCAAGCAGTCGATGAATTGACTCTGTATGGTTTGAAATTGTATAATCCTGTCATGACCTTGCTTTGAATCTTTAGTCAGAGCCCACAAGCTAAGTAGCGGATTTGCTCTGGGCATTTTAAAGTGGTATTTCAGGAAGGGATCACGAAGCAGAAACACGTCTACTACTGCCAGCCGTGCCGCTGACTCAACGCTGTCACAGCCGCTCTCTGACTGTGGGGCAAGCCTAGCTGCCCCTAGCCTGATCCTGCAAGGGTAAGCCAGCTCTGTCCAGCTCGGGAGATCCCAGCACTATTTATAGCATGACTGTCCACTCCACCATGCCACTGTATCTGAAACATGCAGGTCAGCGTTGCCTTTAGCATTTCAGATAAACAGACCCTTGCCCCCTCCTGACGTGCAGCAACAGCAACTGCCACATGCTGCCCCCGAGCTGACTGTCTTCACAGTCCAGGTGAGTTACTGCGTGCTGACTTACAGGTACCTTTGGGAGCTTTCCAGCCCTTCACCAACGCAGCCCCTTACAGAGAGCATAACCTCAGCATGAGTCTCCTCCGGGTGCTGAATGCTCTGTCTCTCTCCCAGCTGCTCACCCACAAAGAAAGGAAGCGTGCAGTGTGTCCAGCTAGTTTTGCTACAGGAATAGCTGCAAACTTGCAGATATGTGGACGTACAGATGCCTACTCCCCACTTGGCTGTCTGGTCACCAGGAAAGCAACACAGCACAAACAGCAATCAGAAAAGGATAGCAACTTCCAGCCTTCCCAGACAGGGTCTGGATCCAGCACCTCCATCCCTGTGCTATGTGGTTGGCCCCTCTGACACTAGGAGGGGGTGGGGACAATGAGAGAGCATCTATCAAGCAAAAAGGTCCTTAACCTTTGACCTTTTGAGGCATTTTCCATCCTGAGAATGCAGTGGAAATCTCTGAGTACAGCAACAGCTGTGTGAGCAGAGAGGTGCTGTGTTCACTTCACACTGGCCACACAAGTAGCCAGTCCACTTTAAGTTTCAAAGAAACACATTTCCCTGAAGCAAGCAGCAGCAAACCACAGGCCACACACCACTGAGCCAAGAGCAGCACCGTAGAAAAGGAAATAAATGCTGCAGGCTGCTGAAGAGCCACTGTTCACTGCGGCCAACATCAGACCCATGAGAGGGCTGGACCACAGGCAAAGGCGATGATGCACCACAGCCACAGCCATTGCGCACTGCCTGGTGGCAACGTGGCAGACAGCCCCCAGCCTTAACCTATGCAAGGGAAGAGCTCCATGGACCAGACACCAGACTGAGCAAGTGGGGTATGGTGGGGTTAACATCAAAGCATCACTTCCTTTCCTTGCCCTTCAGACCACCACATGAGAAGTGTTGGGGCCAGAGGGCGCATGGAGGAACAAGGTGCCTTGAGGGATGGCAGTGCTTCTGCTCAGCAACAAGCATCTGGCTCCACTGAAGCTCAAGACGATGTTTTGAGATCAGTTCCCTTCATGATGGTCAAACAGAGCCTGGGCTGCCTGGTTTGTGCTGCCAACATCATGCCTCCCTGGTCCTCAGATCCCGATGTTTCAATGCTGGACCCCCAGAGCTCCATGGCAGGGACCCTGTGCCCCACGAAGCAGACAGCAAAGTGGGGTCAGGCTCCCAGGTTTCTGCCACAATGCTGGAGAACGAGCTGGCCCCCATCACAGAGGCCTTCAGGACTTTCGCTATTGCAGACACCTGCTGCCCCAAATGAGGAGAGGACAGTGCCACTTACTAGAAAAATATGCCTTTATTTACCATCTGTGGTTTGCTCAGTAGAGAATATTCTGTGGCAAGGGGACCAGCTGAAGCCATGCTGTTGATTGTGGCTAGCACATCCCCACCTGCACCATGCAGGGGGTGGCAGGATGAGGTCTCCATCTACAAACAAGGTGCTTATAGATGCTGCTTTCATCTCAGGCCCCACTGCCCTCCACCGCTGTGTTGTTCAGGTCCTGTCAGCAGAGCACACAGCCTCCCCACCAGCCCCACCACCATGCTGTGGTCACGGTTTCTGTCCGGGGTCAGGAACCCTTACAGGGCACACTGCTTCTGGCACTTGCCTTACAAGGCAGTTGGGATGAGTTAAATAATGGGTTGGAGGGACAGTTTCTGAGATGGGAATGGTCGATAACACAAAAGAAACATCTCACAGCTAATGAGCCAACTAGCAGGCAGGTGCCTGTCGTACAGCAGTCACCGTGCTGAATGCCTGTGCAGGGTGGTCAGCCATGGCTCGGGTCAGGAGGTTGAAGCCTCTGCACTACTGGTTCCCACACCACTGCCTGCAGTGTGGCATGGCACAGCCCAGCCGCCCGCAGCGCTGGCATGAGGGGCCTCCTCGACGCCTGCCAGCTGTCCCCACAAGCCTGCTAGCCCAAGCTTATGGGGGCCATGATGCCATGTGGGGCCCCAGCACCAGTATCTTCTCAGGTAGCAAGTAGTGAGTTTCAATAGGGTCTTCAGCACACTACATTTTGATTTTGTTGTTGTTTTTCAGAGGTCCACTTGCAAGCCTTTACCAGTTGTTGAGCCCCCTCATGCTGAAGGCCAAAGCATACTTTCTTGGTGGGCTTCATAGTGTGAGACCTCCAGCTTGGTCACTGCTGCTCAGGCAGCACTCACCCCTCACACATCCTCCAACAGCCCCATTTAAAGCTTAAATAAACCAAAGAAGGTCTTGGATTCCTCAAAATTAATCAGAGCGATTTTGGAGACGTTGACGTGCAAACTGTCCATCTTCCTGAGCTTGAACAAAGCCCCCAGGTAGCTCTTCCGGGCCCATGTTTTCTGACTCGTACAGTAGTTGATGCCTTTGTCCTCCATCAGCACGTGGCTGCCTGGCGAGGCCGGGTTTTTCTTGTAGACAATGTGGGTCAACACCTGGCTGCTGCAGACGCTGCCGCGGAAGAGCACGTTGGAGTACACGAAGTACAGGCCGGTCTCATTGATGACAAGGCCCTGGTCACGGTACTGAATGCCGTTGGTGAAGGCATGGCCAGAGATGGGTTCCCACTCCAGAGGAAGGTCCTGCTGGGCCGGGTTCCCTGGAAGCCGAAATGAGAAAAAGTGCAGTAAGTACAAGCAGTTGCGTGTTTTTTCCTTGAGTCACACCCCATGTCACAACAAGTCAACTGTTCTCCAAGCCCTTGTCTGCAGCATGGAAAGTCCACCCCAACCTCACACTGGTGGGAGCTCTCACCTTCACCTCGCTCAACACCAGCCACTTGTGACAGCCTTCTGCCCGCACACCCCAGATGCGAACCAAAAACCAAACCAAAAAACAGAGCCCTCACTGAAAAGCCTAAATGAGGGGAAGATTTCTGGTGTGGAGTAACTTCCCACTGTCAGAGCACATGTGTTACCAAGGGCAAATAAGAAAGCCTGTGCGAGGGGGGCTCCTCACAACTACGACCATGCCACCCTCTTACCCCAGCCACGTCCACCCTATCCCCCGCTCCCACATCCTGCTGGCCCCTCAGCACATACCTGTTAAGTGTGCTGCCCTTCTCGCTTCTTTTTTCATTGACTGCCCCTGCTGCCCTGCACAAACATAGGGAAGACATTAGCCATACGGTCCATGGAGAAGCCAGCCCACAGAGCAGAAGGGAGCTAACCACGAAGCTGGAATGGGACAGATTCAGAGCAGTACCAGGCACATAAGCACCAAGGCTTAGCAGTGCTTGGGCAAACACTGCAGGGCAAGACGAGGAGCTGAAGAGTTGCAGCAAAGGATCCAGATGCAATCAAAACAGAGGGAAAAAGCAAGGAGAGCTTTCATTTTATAATGGCTTGGTTGGTAAGTTCAAGCAGAAGACTCTCACTAAGGGTGCAGGAGAGGGACAAAACTGCGCCTTCGCTCAGCATCTCTGGCCGATGCCAAGGCAACTGCTCACATTCTCTCCAGTCCAGCACTGCCAAGGGCAGATGTACCCACGGCAGGGGGCTTCTGCCTGCTGACTACCAACCCTCCTTACAATCAGATCAGAGAAGACACTAGAGACATCCTGCAAACCATCCTGCTGGCCATGCAGACCTTGTCGTCCAAGAGACAGAGGACAGCTGGGAAAATCCTGCCTTTCCCGGAGAGCTGGGTTCCCCATGGAGAGATGGGCCAGTTACAGTGGCTCAGTATTCTGATCCCGTCCCACCCCATCCTTCCCTTCTTCTCAGCATCTACTTCCAAGCATCATGTTCTCAGTTTTAGAAGCAGCCTTTTCTTTTCTCGAGTCAACTAAATTTTCCTCTCCTCTCCCCCTTCTGCTTTACACTATTTCCCTGGGTTTGTTTATTTATCCATTCCCCTCAAGAAATTCTGGATTACTCTTTAAGACTTATATTCAACTACTGCTAAAGCAGCCTATGATCAGAGCACTGAGCATCCAGTTAAAATGACAGCTTCCCTCCCCCTAAGCAAGAGATTACAAAATTTATTGATATGGGAGTTGATGGGAACCAGGACTGCCCTTTCCAGAGAATTTTGTTATTTCCAAATTTTCTTTCATTCAGTACCAGAACAAACTTGAAAAGAAATTAACTTTCCTACTAGCCAAAATTATCAAAAAATAAAAACCAAACCCAAACCTTTCCAGATCTAGTAAAAACTGTCAAGAGAGCTGAAAATTTCTTTCTGAGTTGGCCATCTTTAAAATGGGATATCCTCACTGATACCATTAACGTGGAATGTAAATGTAAAATAATAGTTTGGAAGTTGAAATAACGATTTTTGAATTGTTCCATTCAGATTGAAACTTTTTGGGTTTTTTTCCCTAGATGAAATTTAGAAAAATTGGCACGTTCTTGTGGAAAGTTTCAATTTCACTGAAATGACATTTCGAAATTAAAAAACCACCACATATAATCAGGCTCTTCTCAACTAGCTTTGGCTGCAGTGAGACTTCCTACCAAAATAAATTAGGAAAAAGTAAATTGCGTTCTCAGGGATGAGAGTGAATCCCCCACCCCTAAAGAAAATGAAACCCACCGCATGCTCCCAAAATCTTAACAGAGTGAAGGGAGAAAGCAGTAAAACGTGCGGGGCCCGTCTCCGTTCTCCTCCTTCCATTCATGATGTTGCTATAGGTTAGGACAGTCAGAAGGTCGTTTTTACAGCAGAGCAGCCCCCGTGCTGCTGCCCCACCAGGCCTGGGAGGCTCCAGGGGAGAGGCACACACTGTCCCAGGACCTCTAAGCGCTCCAGCAGGCAGGGTGCAGGACCCCATCCCCACACCCCGGAGATAAAGCTCGTTTTCAAGCCAAGCAAGCAAAATCAGCACTTCCAGAATATCGAGCTGCGACCTCGCTTTTGCCCCCGATGAGGAGAGGGAAGAGTTTGACAGGAGCATTCACACACACTGGCACAGAGGAGTTCCTCCTCTACATGCATCAACTCACCTATGAGTTTCTCCAAAGCTGGAGGGATGTGTTCAGTGCTGGCAGACTGTCAAAAGAGAAGAGTGACCAGCTGTTTGAGCAGAGTGAGAGCATAAATACATCATCTAAAGCAGCCAAGGACTATCTTTGACAGTGGCTGATTTCGGGTGCTCACAGGAAGCTGCAAAGTGCTAAGAAATATACAGGGAGAGAGACCTTGCAGCACTCAGAAACACAGAGATCCAGATCCATCAGTCACCAACAGAGCAGTCCCCCCACAGCAATGAGCAGCCCCACTGAACATTAGCGTGGAAGACATCTAAATGCCACCAGCCTGCCCCTTGGGGAGTTTTGCATCACTTCAGCACCTCGGACCCAATTTGAAGTTTTTCTTTTTTTCCTGTTTCCCCAGAGCCTCCGTGAACAGCCAGCCAGACCTCACCTCTCTGAGTTCAGCCAGTTGCTTCTCCAGGTGGAAGATCTGAAACATGCTCAGCCCCACTCCAGTGAGGGCCAGCAGGATCAGCAAGGAGATCACCAGGAAGCCAACGCTCCTCCTTTCCCTGTTGTTCCTCGTTTTTTTCCTCCGGTCTGGTACCGGTGGTGGGAAAGAAGCGCTGGGAGGTGCCGGAGGGCAGGAAGTACTTGTGTTGGTACAGCCGTCCACCCAAAAGATCTGGGGGTACACGTAGTTCAAGTTCTGCTGCATGGCCGGGAGCGGGATGGGCTGGACGTGCTTGGTGTGATCTTCCATTTGGCAGCCATAAACTGCCGGGGCTGTCCCAGGCTGAGCCCTGGGGGAAGACCCAGCTCTGCCTTTGTACGCCTGCATCACTCCAGCAGTGAACACCCAGCTCAGATGCTGCAACTCTATGAAAGCCTCAAGTATCAACAGCAAACCCCAAAGAGCTTCCGCCCTTGGCTGCAGGTTCGGGGCACCCGCCTGCTCCTCCCACACCGCGGCAGCTCACACAGGCAGCGGGACCAGCCCGGCAGCAGATTCTGCTCACACAAAACCGCGCTCAGCGGCCAGGCTTGGGAAGTGGGTGCACGCAGCAGCGAAGCGCTTGTGGGGTACGCGAGGGCTGCGCTGTCGGTCGGGTGCCGAGTAATCAGCCCAGCGCACACCCACCAGCTAACCACCCTTTCCAGCAGCCCACACGGGCAGAGGCAGCTGCTTTTCCACTGCGGTGTCCTGGACCACAAGCAGAGCAAAAGGAATGTCAAAACCTCTGGCTTCTTGCACAAGGAGGGAGAGAGGTAGAGCTGAGGACCTCTCCCCTCAGCAGAAGGATGAAGACCTGTCCACGCGCAGCGGTGGATGCTGGGGAATTCCTTTGTTTCACAGAGGACAAATTACTTACCGGTCTCTGTTGTGCATCCCACCTTTACCTTGGCTGCTCTGCAGGACACAGATCCCAGGTCACAGAACACCGGTCACAGACACCTTTCCACTGTGATAAAATCCAGCTTACTCGAGAAGAGGCAGACACTGTCAGTCCTTCAGCCTCAGCAGAGCTGCCCCGGCGTTAGCAGCCGAGCAGAGCCAGCTCAGTGGGCTGCCTTCACCCACACCACATCACCACGAAGCACCGGCAGGGTTGTAATATAGGAAACACACAGTACCCTGGGGCACAAGGACACTCTTCTGGCAGCTTCTGCTGCCCCTCTTACCTTCGCAAATACCATCTCTAGTCCCACAGTCCTCTTCTAACCTGAAGAAACCTTAGCGAGGGAAGGGCTTTTTTATCATCTCTTCAGGTCAATGCTGAGCACTACAGCAGGACCTAACCTGGCTGAGTAACTTGTGGTTAAAGCCTGGGGTAGACACTGTGCTGCTCGTCTTGGTAGAAGTTCTCTTGCCTTCCAGAAAATGATCCAGAATGCAGGTCATGCTGCAAAGGACCAGCACTTACAAGAGCTCATTACAAAATCATAATGAGAAGAGACAGGGACATTTCTACTCCTCAACTTCCATTTTCTCACTTTCTATTCCTTCTTGACCACAGACATCCAAGTGGTGGCAATGAGATTTTCCCACAGATTTAGAGGTCCACACAAAGGAGTATAAACAGCAACTTGCTCTTCCGTTTTACAGACCTATGTTGAAGTGTGTATTTGTATTGGGTAATGTTTAAAAAAAACCAAAATGCTTAATACAAGAGCGAACTGGAGATTCATCTCCTCTGTGGCTGAAGGAAGTTGTCCCAACACGCAGCCTTTGATCTTGAACATCAAAACTGGGGTCTGCGAACAGCAGGATTTAAGAACGTATGCACACTTGTTTCTCCAAAGCAAGGGCTCAGCTTTGCCTCCAACCACACCAATAAGTCAGACGTGTCCTCAAAGCCTTCCCTGCACCACCAGACACCCCACTGCTGTTTGAAGATGCTCACCACAGCCGTTTGCTGCAGCAGTGATTCGCAGCACAAGAGGTTTCAGCAACCCATCTGTCTCTTCCTCGTACTTCTAGGTTTCTGACATAAGACACAAAAGTAACATAAATCCAGCTCCAGCAATTAAAGCCTGGTCGTGCTTATGCCCGCCCTCACGTAGCCCTCCCCTCTGCATCCCAGAAGAGTTCTCCCCAGCCAGCCCGAGGACGGGTCCTCATCCACTCCCATGGTCATTACAAGAGAGGGTCACACAAAGGGCTGGGCTCAGCTCCACGTGGCTCAGGGAGCAGGGGACTGAAGCCCAGGACTCACTCAAAGCTGGAAGCGTTGCTGACAAGCACGTCAGAAGCCATTGAGCACTTAGCTTTGCCTGGAGAGGATCCAGTCAAGTTTTTTCTGACAGTGGCCATGTTTAATGCAGACAGCTTATCTTGGTGGGATTACAGGCACAGCAGGCTCCCTTAAATGTCAGAAGTGTACTTATTTCTCACCCACTGCTTCCTATTTGCACAAAGACACCTTTTTTTATGGGTGGGTGAGAGGGAAGAGACAATGAAACCAATGCAAGCCTTTTCAGCCATGTCTACTGCATCTTCTGTTTCAGATGCTCAGATCAAGAACCTGCACCCTAGAGATCCACATGTTGTGGCAAGCTGAAGACTGGGGCTATTTAGCCATCAAAGGATCGGTTTTGGTGCACAGTGTGTTTTCAGAGACATTTCCCTCCCTAGCACACTCTACTGTGCTGGTGACACTCTCCGTTTCCCATCACCACCTTCAAAGATCACCAAGATGGTAAGCACTGGAAGACAGTGGCAAGCGGGGCTGTGTCTGTGTAGCACATCATGATGCCTGCGGGCTCTCGGCTCTGCTGGCTTCCTATTGCTCAAGCGACACACACTGTTAACAGGGCTTTTGAAATAATAGTGGGACTATTTGCTGCAGGTAGACACTTAAGTCACGTGAATCTCTATTGCTAGAAGGCCTAGAGCCAGAATTTCAACAAGGTTGAGCTCTCCTAAAATACGGGGCAAGGATAGCTGGGTGGGAAAGTGGGAGTTAAGAAGGACAAAAGAGGTGTCAGGTTTGTCTTTCTGCCTCCCTATCCCTCTCTCTGCCCAGTCTGCAAGATGCACACTCTGTTTCCAGCAGCCTTGTCATGTCGTTTAACAGGAAGGAATAGTTTCAAATGGAAATACCTTCCATATGCTTTATTAAAGAAAGAAACCCCTTTGCCAAAACCAACAAAAGACAAGCCACAGTTACACAGAGAGAGGATTTGCTCAGAAGAACCTCCTGCATCCCCACCTTGCCTCCAGATGAGAGATGGGAGCTCTTATTAATGACACACACTATTCTGCTAAAGTTTATGTTGATAGCAAAGAGAATCAGCCAGCAGCTAGATTTAAGGACAAAAGGATGAACTGCTTGAAACACACCAAAGAAAGCAGGACTTCAACAATGACGCAGATCTAACACTTGACAGAAAACAAAATTTAAAAAAACTCATAAGTGTGAACCACCACGTAGGAGATGCTCTCATCAGGTTCTGGGCAGAGTCAGATATGTGTTTGTCTGAAAGTGATTAACAATTATTTCCTATTACACTAGTGACTAGTGGAAATGCTAAAAAGCAACTATCGAAAGCCCACAGGGCTGCATAAATTACACCCAAGAACAACAGAAGAAGTTGAGAATTCTGCGCATTCAAAAAACAGGATTCAAAATATTAACCCGAGATATTAACAGCCTCGGCAACCTTCGGTGGTCCCAGGCTAAACCACACAAGCAGAGCCAGCAGAAACAACTACTGCAAACCGGGTAAGGATCAGCCCCAGCTGGCAGAAGAGATGGCACCCATTAAAGCTCACCAATGGGTGGAGTGGAAAGAGTAGCCGAGAGCACCATCCAGGACAAGGCTTCTGATTTTCCACCAGGATTGCCCTTAACACAGTGCTATTTCAACTCATTTACCACAGATCTGGAAGAAATCAAGAAAAATATTTCACCGTAATATCTGCAGATTAACATAACTGGCAAGAGATCCTAAGTAACCATGACGACAGACAACTGAATCAGAAGAAAATAAGTCTAGAAACAAAGAGTACAGTTCAAACTCTTTAGACAGAAAGAGACATCCTAAGAAGATTATACAGTTCTGAAACAGAGAGGCTACCCAGCTGGACATGTGCTTCCAGCAGGGAAAGCCCACGGGCTCCCACAGGTATGAGCTCCCGTAGAGCACTAGATAGCTACACTGTCCCAGCACCCATATTGCAAGTTTACGGTCAGCTTTAGAGGGGCTCAGGAAGCAGTTGCAATAACAGCTGGACAGCAAAGGCATTCAACTTGGTCCTTTCAAGAGCAGACTGGCAGGGAGGGATGGCCAGCGTGTGAAAAATCTGTATAAAGGGGGACGATTGCCAGCAGCAGAGGGTTCTTGAATCTCACAGGAAAAAACAACCTTCCCAGGGAGCCAGTAACTGGGAGCCAAAGGTGAAGGAGTTTGTGCAAGAGAGACATGTATTTTTCACTGTACATTTGTCACATTAAAGGGTTTCAAGGAGTCTGACAAGCAGCAAGAAGAAAGCCCTCCCATTGAGTCATGAGGTTTGGAGTGAATCCCCCTTGCTTTCTAAACTCCTTCTCAGAGAGGGGCCTAGGTGCGGCTGGGTCCACTCCTAGTCCCAGACCTGGTCAATGGTTTATGTCTAAGGGGTTGGGTACGTAGCTGCTTACCAGGGTCAACATTTGCCTGTCAGAGCCCTCCCAGGGACTTTCACTGAAACAGTTTCACAAAGTTGAAACATTAGGTGATTCATTCAAGCGACAGGTATCACAGATTCGGGATTGCCATTGATAAATGCATTGTCTACAAAATTGAGCTCAAGCTAATGGTTTAGCGCTTTAGTTAACAATGTGTACCCAGGCGTAAGTCCGACAAAGTCAGAGGCACAACTCTTGTCAAAAAGGTGTCCCTTCTTTGGGGGGCGAACAGAGATTCAGGCGCATCGACCCGTCCATCAGGATTGTTTGGCTCCTCCTCCCAAGGTGGTTTTCAAGTGCCAATTTTCATGCTTTTGAAATCTTTGGCAAGGTAGGACTAATTCAAGTATGTGTTGACTAGCTCTTGGCATGGTACGCTGGGTCCTCTGGAGCGGGACTCAGCAGTTCACCATGCCCTCGGGGCTGGGAGCTCAGTACATGCTTAGAGGAGGCCTTCTGTTTTTATCTGAAGCAACATCTGGCTGTGCACCCTTCCTCGCACCCCAGGGGTCACTCAGTTTATAGATTTTATACTTCTGTCCGATCAGCGAAGCTCATTGTTCCAAGTTGAACTGCTCCCTTCTGTTAATTCTTCGGTTCTTGACACACGAGTCCAAGCAAGTCTTGCTCTTGCATTGACAAGTCCAGCAAGGCCATCGACCCACAACAT